TACCATGTTAGTTATTAACTTATTATCTATGTATACTTCTCCAGTTTTGGGATACGAAGTTAAGAGTCACTTATTTTAATTCAGTATAATAGCTATCTATGCTTTAAAAGCCATGTTTCAAAAAATTATGGGTTTTTTTGTTTTGTAGGTTTTTTTTAAGGTCACCATAGCTTCAGATATATTTTCTTGAAATGTGTTTTTTGCATTAAATATGTTAATTAAAGAAAATTCTTTCTAATGTGTTAAGCATAAAGTTAGCCAAAAAGTCTCATCCTTAGCTCAGTGTGTGTAATGACCAAGTAATGTAGTTCATCTGCAAAGGAGACTAATAGAATTTGTTTTGTTGGTGGGAGACAAAACCCAGGGGCGATTAGAAAGTTCTAGAAACTGGTTCTAAAGAAATTTCATAATGAGTTGTTAATTTATGCCTGATGCAGCTTATTAATTTATAATAGGATGAAAGTTTTTAAACCATCTTTCTGGTCAGATTGTATTCAGATACTTACTTAAATTTTTACATACCTTTTCCTCTTTTTCTTATAGAACCTTCCTAATATTCTCACCGATGATCGATTTAAAGTTATGTTTGAGAACCCTGACTTCCAAGTAGATGAAGAGAGTGAAGAATTTAGGCTTTTGAATCCACTTGTTTCAAAAATTAGTGAGAAAAGGAAGAAGAAACTAAGACTGTTACAGCAACAAGAACTTCATGAAAAAGTAATGTACTCCTTATTGTTTAGAATTTACTGCTGTTTTCTTAAATATTAAGTTTTCCGTGTAATTTAGAAGAATCTTTGATTTTACTTGAGATGTAATAACTGCATATTAGTTGTCATTCAGCTTAGGAGTACATTTTATTTAACTAAGGGCATTCCTTCTAGTACATGCAATGGGATGGAACAGCTGTCACGTACTCTAAGGGGCTCATGCTACTGAAAAGAAAATAATGAGCCAGTGTTTGGTTGGGGGAAAGGAGCTGCTTCTTACTATTTTTATTTTCAGGAAGAGGAGGAAGAACTGGAAGGAAAACCGAGTGATGCAGAAAGTTCGGAGAGTTCAGATGATGAAAAAGACTGGGTTGAAGAGGTCAGGAAGCAGCGCAGACTTATCCAGCAGGAGGAAAAAGTGAAGCGGCAGGAACGACTCAAGGAGGACCAGCAGACGGTCCTAACACCCCAGTTTTATGAGATCAAAGCAGGAGAAGAGTTCAGAAGCTTCAAAGATTCTGCCACAAAGCAGAAGCTGATGAAGTGAGTAGCACTGCCTTAGTGACAAGTTGGCATGTGGTTGAGCCCTTGCTCTTCATTGGCACATGGCCCTAAAGATGACATTTCTGTCATCTTTGGATGGTGGGGGCTGCAGGAAGGCGTGGAAGAGTGAAGGGGTGGGGAAGGCCATGCAGGAGGTGGTGCATGGCAAGCACCCAGCAGGCCTGAGGTGGAGTTTACATGCAGTAAAATACAAGTGTAGTCCTGTGAGTGTGTTGAGTCTACTCTAGAACGCTTTGAAACTGCAAAGGCCATGCTCTTTCCTGTTGTCCTGGAATTTTGCCCATGGAGCTCCCTAACCTATACATATTTATTTTATTCTGTGCCCAACAGATCAGTGATTTGAAGCCTTTTGGACAATGGTAGTTAAGAGATGACAAATTCTTTGTCTCATCACAAAAAGTTATTTTTAAAAATTAGGATCTCAGTTATGTTTACCCCATCTCAATTTACCTGATTATTGAAAAAGTCACTTGGAAAATTTGCCAGAAATGTTAAGCCTTTTTGTCATTGACCCAAGGATCATTCAGCAATGAAAAGAGTGGTATTTTAGATTAGTCAGATATAGAGCGACAGGAAGTAGAATAGTGGTTGCCAGGGGCTGGGGGAGAGGGATTAAGGAGTTAGAGTTTAATGGGTACAGAGTTTCAGTTTGGGGTTATGAAAATGTTCTGGTGGTAGTTGGTAGTGATGGTTGCACAACTGTGTGAATGTGCTTAATGCTATTGAACTGTCCACTTAAAAATGGTTAAAGTGGTAAGTTTT